TCCCTACGAGTGCACAGCATATACGAAATGGCCGCGCGCGAATTGTGCACCCGCCGCCGCACGAATATCCCGACGTTATACGAACAAACAACGTAAGCGCGCACGGGAGAGATAGAGATGTAGTGGGCTAGGCGTAGGTTTTTGATGGTAGCCGGTGGTGTGTACGATGCGATGCGGTATACGTGGGGTAGGTAGGTCGGTTAGGGGCAGGGAAGGTTTGGATATCTTGTCGAGGATAGGCTGCCGGTGCAAGTAGGTTTAATATTTGATAACGCGGGCTGGTCATCCTGCCGAGGCGATAACACAGGGCCCGCGGGAACCTTCCGCCCAACATCCCTCGGAAAACGACTGCCGCCAAACTCGCGGTGTCCCTCCACTCTGCGCCCTCTCTCATCCCCATCCAGCCGGTTGGTGTGTTCCGACGTTGGTCCGTTCTTTCTTCCCTTTTTTTGCCCTCCTCTTGTTCGCTTTTCCTATACCGAAGCTCGTCTCTCGAAGCGTCCGGTGTTTCTCGCGCATCCGTTTCCGTCTCGCGATGTAAGGATGAGCGAACTAGGAATGACCGATATCGATGGAATAAACTCCGCACAGTTGTTTACATCGCTTCAAATTGCCATCAAGACGTTATCGAAGTATCAAAAATTAATTGCATTTTTATTCATTTCGACACTTCACATTATATGCGCAAATCCATATATTTATTTTTATATATTATATATTATATATTTTATATATATATTTATATATTTTATATCTTTATATATTATATATTTTATATATATTATATATTATTTATTATCTATTATATATTTTATATTATATATACATTATAGATTTTCTATCTCTATCTCTCTTTCTACTTTTCATCTCATTTCCTCTAGTATATCTTTTATATCTATCTCTTCTCTCTTTTCTATCTATTCTCTCCTTCTCTCTTTTCCTCTCTTTCTCTCTGCTCTGTCTTCTCTCTTCTTTCTTCTCCTCTTCTCTCTTTTCTCTCTCTTCTCTATTCTCTGTCTAATATCTATATCTCTTTCTTCCTTATTATCTTCTTTCTTCTCTTCTTTCTTCTACTCTCTCTCTTGTCTCTTCTCTCTTTCTCTCTCTTCTTCTTTTCTCTCTCTCTCTCTCTTTTTTCTCTCTTCTCTCTTGTTCTCTTTTCTCTTTTCCTCTCTTGTCTGTCTTCTCTCTTATCTCTTCTCTGTCTCTTCTCATCTTCCCCTCTTCCTTTCTCTTTATGTATATAATACTATTTAAATTTTTTCGCCCGTTTGCTTCTATATATATCTATATCTAGTATGAAGATATATTAATATATTATGTATAAGCGAGAAAAAGGGTCAATCTTTGTGTACGGGTCAATTTCATTGGTATCTTGGAGAATCATATATAGGAAACAGCTTTATTCGTTATTCGATCGACCGAAATCCCGAAGCCTTGCGGGACTAACAGAGGGGTCCTGGGTTACGGAGGGTCCACGGTACGTTAAAAATTTACTATAAAACAGCTCACACAAGTCTGCACTTACTGCGAAGATTTGCTTGCTCAAATTTCCGTGTACGTGGTCGTTAAAATCGTCGCGTTAATACCGAGACAAATGTTTCGAAATTTTATTCAGCGTTTGTAATTCAATTAATATCTACGATATATGTATAATCTAATACGCGCCATTTATCTCTCGTATGGATTGCGTATTTTTTTTTCCACGATAAAAAAAGAGCGGGAATTATACATTAGTCGCCCGTCATATTTACACAATCACTAGTTTTATTATCTTTTATCGATTAAAAAATAAATATGCTTAATTGTTGAGAAAAACAAGATAAGAAATGTTTAAAAAGAAAAAAAATATATATATATATGTATGTATATACGGAATATAACGCAAAACAAATGACGCGTTTCTCCTCCTTTTACCCTTTTGTCTCTTTAATTACAGTTTTGACTGCAACATGTGCTTCAAGGCTGTTTTAATGATAGCGTAATGCTTTTGCGTGACTTGAGTATTTCCAGGGACGGGACGAATTGAACGAACTATATAATTATAATACCAATTGCATATGAGATACCTATTTTTAACGTAATTCATACTTTGTCGTCGCGTATTTCTTTAGTCCCACTTTGTCATCATGCAAATGTGGCATAAATTGAAAAGTTTCGACGCAATCTTTTATATAAAAAATATATATACATGTATATATATATATATATATATGTAATTATTTATTTATTTATTTATTTTTATTTATTTACTTGTAATATTAGATAGAAATTTATCAAGCGTCCATAATTTCCATATTTGCTAAAACGGATTCTATACTTATAAAATAAATCATAAAATGAGATGAATAAATTTAATTCAAATAAAGTTCAAAAAACATTAATCCATATTTACAGCCCGGTAATCGGCGTTATAAAGCGTATGTGCGCGTATGTAACTCTCTGCCTGAGTTTTAAAATTTATATATTTCAAATGAAAATTGCATTCGATGTTATATTATGTGGAATTACGCGGAGAGATAAGCGTTTAAACGTGAGAACGTGAACGTGGTGCCGCTGCACTTTGTCCATTGGTATATTATAAGAATATATTTATTAATTTGATAACAATATAAATACGTTATATTAATACGGATTAATGAATTTCAGTTATATTTCCAAGTTTCTCTCTCCCTCGTCATGAACATTTTAAATAAATTTCACGATGCGCAATTTCTGCGATCGGCTACGCTACTCATGAACATTTAACATAGGAAATGAATATATGCCCGTGTTACGCACATGTAAAAAATATTCCGACCAATTTTTCACAACAATGTAAATGTTACAACATGGTCTAATGGATTTGAATTGTTTTGTCAGTCAGTTTTGCCATACGCGAAATGACTTCGAGTATAGACTCTATAAACTCGCTATCGCTTGTTAGGAAGAAAAAAAAATACAAAACGATAGAGAGAAATCTGATTTTACGAGAAGAAGGAGCTTCTGTGCGCTGAAAAACAAATTATTAACTTGACTAAATATTATTTTGTCATTTCAACATGTAAAAATATTTAAATTAAATATAACATACTAATATATGCACATGTTCAATTAACAAAACAATAATTTAATTGGAAGGTTTAATCAGGTTAACCAATTTTTTTTGTGTCGACTAAACCTTTCAGCTAAATATTATTTTGTTATTTCAACATATGTAAAAATATTTAAATTAAATATAACACATTAATACACGTTCAATTAACAAAACAATAATTTAATTGAAAGGTTCGGTCGGGTTAACAAATTTTTTTTTTTCAGCGCACATCAGACGCGTGCGACGGCGAGACTTATTTGGGGGCTGAAGTTGGCTTCGAACGACGACTTTTGAACGAAAGAGGTGGAAACGGGAAGTAGATAGAGGAATCGAAAAGAGCGCGCGTACTATAAAATATGCGTGCAGTAGTAAGTAGTAAGTGCGATAAAAGGGGGATGAAATAGAAAGTGCGAGGGAAAGAAGGGATTTATGATCCCGGGCGATAATAAAGATTACAATAGGCATACTTCGCAGATATTTATACATCGTCGAGATATAACGATAACGCGACTTATGACGTTTGCGTATGACCGAGCGCGCGAGTAAAATAGAGCCTGGATATTCGCTCCACGGAGAGAAAGACGCGCCGGAAGAGGTTACAGAGATGTACGGGCGGGAAGACAGGCAAGAGATGTAAAAGATAGAGAGAGAGGGAGTGGGATAGACTCTCGGCTCAACTAGAAGTATAGAGAGAGGGTGTAAAGAGGATCGAGCGCAAGAGTGGCGGCGGGCAAAACGTAGACGTGGAAGGGTGAAGGGACGTCGAGGTATACACACACACACACACACACACTACCCACACGGGGAAGGATGGACAAACGGGTGGTCGCGGTTAGCGACACCCATGCGAGCAACCCCTGAAAGCAGCTTCCAAGATGGCCGACGCGCATGAGATTAGGGGCGCAAGCGTGACCGCGCGTGGCTCCGCCCCCGGTTCACCGGGAGCCCTCGGCGTACCTAACTCACCCCCTCGCGAAACGGGGAGCGAACGCCAACCACCCTCCCGCATCGTGTGGGCAAGCGCCACGCTGCGCCGCATCGCGCCCCCCAACCTAACCCACCCCCGGCGTCATCATCCCCCACCCGCGCCCCCGGACGGACAGCGGCACTCCTGCCATCCCCCTGGAAGAGTTCATCCGCGAGGCGCTGCTCCTGCTCCTGCTCGCCGGCCAGTCAGCGCCAAAAAGTGCAGAGCTTCGGGACGAGAGTCTCCGCGTCCTGTACCCCGCGCGTAGATCTTTCTTCAACCCCCTGTGTGTATATGACAGTGTAAGAGTACTCGGTACACGTACCTGCTCTCTCTCTTTCCGGTTTCCCTGCGAGAGAGAGCCTTGGTGTCGCTCCAAGTTTAATCCCTGAGTGTCTCCTCGCGGGAACGAAGAACCCCGGTGACTTCGGCGCACGGATCGGTTGGATCCAGCCGTTCTCTGTCGTTTTTCTTCTCCAGCCTCGTAGTTACGGGACACGCTGGTGAAAGCCCGGAGTGAAGTGAAGTAGAGAGAGAGAGAGCGTGCGATCGATTTTACCATTTTTTTTTCTCCCCGAGAGAAGAGATAAAAGGTGCTCCGACGAGTTTTTCCTTCTTGACTGTGGAGTAGCGGAACACTGACGATCGAGATGCGGGACCGCGATTCCGATATGGATCTCGATTAGGTGGGTGCATCGTGAAGGTGAGAGTGTCGGTTAATTTGTATAAGAGAAAAAACATACGCGGACGTGGCTGAAAAGGTGAAACCCACAGTGCGAGACTGGTACTTTTGAATTTCGACGTCGACCGGGACATCAGACAGATAACACAGATGCGAATGCATCTTGGAACCGAGAGACGCAGCCGTCGCTGCCGGCATCACCTACGTCTCGTGTGAGAGTGCCGTCTGAATTCCGGAAGCCGCGGGAGAGCCGGAAAAAATAAAACGCGCAGAGGAGGAGGAGGCGGGAGGAGGAGGAGGTGGTGGCCTAAGGGCATAGGCACGCAAGATGATGTACTCGCCGGACAAGATGATGGGGAGCAAGGGGCTCCACGGGGCACCCATCACCGCCCCGGGTTGCTTTCCCTCGGGGAGATACTCGCCCCCGTCTTATCGCGCCGCGCCGCCGGACCCGATGCCGCCGCCGCCGAGGCGATGCATGCCGAACCCCACGGTGAGTGGAACGAAACATTTTTTTTTTTTCGGCCTCCCTAGATTTCTCAGACTCCCTCGAACGCATCGCGTCGGCCCCCGCTCGATACAGCGCGCTCGTAAAAATACCTTGCGACACAGTTTCTCGGACTCATTCGTTCGGTTCAATGTCAGGGTGTCCAGCAGACTGAATGAAAAAGATTCCCTGACTCTTTTTCAGATTTTCCAAGAAATTAATATTTTCCAGAAATTCTTTTTTCCCTTTTAATTTGAATTTTAATGCTTTAATATTCATTTTAATATTTTTCCTTCTAGTATCCTTTCAGATTTTCCAAGAAATTAATATTTTCCAGAAATTCTTTTTTCCCTTTTAATTTGAATTTTAATGCTTTAATATTCATTTTAATATTTTCCCTTCTAGTATCCTTTCAGATTTTCCAAGAAATTAATATTTTCCAGAAATTCTTTTTTCCCTTTTAATTTTAATTTTAATGCTTTAATATTAATTTTAATATTCGTTTTAATATTTTCCCTTCTAGTATTATTTTTTCCAAAAATAATTTGCATATATGATCAATCAATTAAATGTTAAATCATGAAATCCTTGAGATATTTTTGTCAACAATGAAAAGGTTCGGAAGTTAAAAAAACAAACATTTAAATCAATTATACAATCTGCATTATGTGCGATAATCGAAACAAACATGTCACTATAAACTATTTAAATAATCACCTTTCTTATTTACATTATATCAAATCTTTTAGTGTTGTCTCTGTCAAACACATTGAAATAAAATAATACGACGATGAAAATATAAATTAACGAACACGCTGTAGATGAATTAATTTTTAACAACACAGAAAATTGCTGGGAGTCAAAGAAAAGTTTATATTTATTTAATAAAAAATTTCAAATTACTGAGACAAATGTAGAATAATGTGAACAAATCCAGATAAATAGTAAAATTTCCTCACTTTTTTCTCTGACAATTTCAGATTTATAAAATTCCCTGACAATGCCCGATTTTCCTGACTTACCTGATCGGTAAACACCCTGAATGTAAACCGCGTGTTGCGTTGATGAATGAATTATTAGTAAATAATGCTGAAAGATTTTTGCACAAGTCGTAATTCGTATTTATTTCAAAGACTCTTCAGTCCTTTAGGAAAAAACATTATATAGCTCGCAAAATACTTTGTCGATTATTTAATAACAATAACTGATGGCAAAATAAAATAAAGTATTAATTTAACGAAATTGTCGTGTTGCGAAATTCTGAATAATAAAGTAATAGACAATAGAATCTATATATGTACGTGCATATAATTTATATCACAAAATCTGTCATGCATATTTGAATGTTTAGAATTTAAAGAAAAAAATTGTGAGATTTAGTAAATTTTATCCGTAAATTTTATATTTTCTGTTTTGAAGAACACAAAATTGAATTAAGATTGAGTCTGAAAAAAATACGTTATTAATTAATTTTTGTCAAAATTAGACGATATTGCAACAAAATTTTTTAGCAAAGAGATTTTTATTTTTATTCTTATTATTATAATAGTATAATAGTTTATCTGATAAATTTATAGGTTCTTGTATGAATTGACTATAAAAGAAGTCTGCTACTGAAATATTTCATTCACAAACGCATATTAAATCATAATATTTCAAGAGACGTAATTGAATTTATATATTTTTTAAGAATTAAAAGATATATATTGTATATATATATATATATAATTACAAGTCAACTAATATAAAACGTAATAATCCTTAATCTAGAATAAATCTTTTTCATCAAAAATTCAAATGGAATTAATTTAACAGACTGTTATTGCGTCAAACTTTAATTAATTTTTTATTATTGTAATCAAATTGGAAAATCTGTCAGTGTCAATATTACCTGACATCCTTAAACGCAGCACATAACGTTTTAGTTTTAATTCGCTCAATGTATATTTTACGTGTATGCACGTTTGCATTTAATCGCGATTATTCGCCGTAACGCGATATATAGTCAAGTAAAATTAGACTTGAAAAGGGCAAAACTTCACAAAAATTATAATTAAGCTGAATTTTTGTAGAGATATTCTAATCCTGAAAATACTCTTAATTTCAGCCAGGGCGTTTTTTATGGGAGGTAAAAGGGAATAAATTTTAGCGTTTTTGCCATTATCTCAAAAACTATCAATTTTTCGAGAAAAATAGTTATTGTCAAAATTGTAGCTCATAAAATTCTCTACAAAGAAGGTTATTATACTTTTTTTCGTACAACTAATCGTTTTTGAGTAAAACGTGCGGTAAAGTTGCAATATTTCTAATACAATATAGTACGTAATGTGCACATATTCTTTCAGACTTAATTCGCTCTATATCTTCGAAACGTTTAATTCCACGAAAAAAAGTATAAAAACCTTTTTTGTAGGGAATTTTATGAGCTATAATTTTGGTAATAACTATTTTTCTCGAAAAATTGATAGTTTTCGAGATAATGGCAAGAACGCTAAAATTTATCCCCTTTTACCTCCCATAAAAAACGCCCTGACTGACATTAAGGGTACTTTTCAGGATTTCATTAAAACATCGAAATAAAGGTCTCCACAAAAATGTAGCTTGATTACAATGTTTTGAAGTCAAAGTTTAATTTTACCGGACTGATATTGCATTGGGATATAATTTTGCGTCTGCAATCATTTAAAATACGATTGAAATGGCGGATCGGATAAATTCACGCAAGAATACGACACCGTGGAACATTTTAAGGAGCGACGAGGGGTGTCGTTGAAGTTTCTCTTCATTCGTTTTCATTGCCCGACACTTGACCGCGTCGGCACGCTCATATTTCTTATACTTACAGGCGACATGTAGACACCCAATTTTAAAGCGAATATATCTAGAAATATAACTGTGCGCCTGTGTGCACGAGACATCAAGAATACGCGTACGAACCCATGTTTCCTTATTCATGAAAAGATCAATATTTCTTCCAAGTTGCGTCTATATTTATAAATCATCACTTCTCGAGTCTGGAATCGGTTTTTTTTCAGAATCGCACTGCATTTAGCCAACGAAATAAATGTTTCTAAAGATTTCATTTCTATGTCTGGAATCGGTTTTTTTTTCAGAATCGTTACATTGCATTTAGCTAACGAAATAAATTTTTTCCCTAAAAACGTCACTTTTTATATTTATTTTTATTCTAGAAGCGACGAAATATATCCATTAAAAATTATATATTCTGTCTTGAAACGCCAGTATACATTTGTTAAATTAAGGGAACTTTATATAATATTAATGTCTATCGTAAAAAATAATTTATATATATAAAAAATCTTTGTAAATATATTATAGATGCAACTAACAAAAAATGGCAATCACGTCATTTAAAGATTACTATGTACTATTTTTTGTTTTTAATAATTTGCTGCAGCTTTATATTTATCATATGATAGATGCTGTTAAAAAATAAATACAACAATGTCTAATACAAAATTATTAAAGTTGCTAAGATCGTTCAATTGCCGAAATAAACATTCTTATTATAATACAAAATAAAAGAGATTAATCCAAACAATTTATCAAACATTTTAAGTTTAAAAAAGATCTGTTTAATTGACCATTTTTTTGAAAAAATTAAATTTTACATAGACTCTTATGTGAAGCTTGTTGGATTATAAAAAAAAACAAAACATTTCATTGGAAAAGCGCTTTTACATTTATCATAAAATATTAACATATGTCTGTCTGTTCATCTAAGTGATAGTCTGAGTATTAAAAAATCATTGGATAAAATGAAAATTGAATTAAGGAATTATAAATAGATGTTTCGATCAAATTAATACAATTAGAAAAGGGGTTTAAAATAAGATACATGTTTTAAGATTTATACTCCTAAAAACGGTAATATAATGTTAAAAAAAAACGATATTTATACATTAATAAGCTATCCAGAAAATAAAATAAAAGCAAAATAAATATTTTAAATTTTGAAAAATGAGTATACTTTATCAAGAAAGTATAATAATAATAATTAATTTATTTGATATATATCACGTTTAAATGAAAAAAAATCAATAAAACTGTAAAAAAGGAAATAATTTATAGTTAACAAACATGACTGTCGTTCGTGCAATTTTGATAGAAAAAAGTTTACTAGAAAATTATGTCAATTCTCATCCTCTCGATAAGTTTGTCTCGACTCGAGAAGCTAATCGAAGAACTAAATGTCATAATTGAATTTAAACAATTATTCATGGCTGGACGATTGTGAGCATTGCGAGCAATCAATCGTGGTGAATCTAAACGCGGTAAATTGCATTATCGAGCTGTCGTATAGAAAACGGTCGATGCAAAAGTGAAATTGGCCGGGGAAATATCCGCGGCGGATAGAATTTGTCCGGCGTGCAACGAGCTCAATAAAAATAACTTTCGATTCGCGACGCGGTATTTAAAATTAAACGTCTCAAGGTTTCATTTAAATCATATTCCGCCGTTCGGCGAAACGCCGCATTTAGAGTTATGTTATCGTTATCGTATCGAGCGCCGTTTTTCTATTAAGGTCAAACGAAACATCGTATTAAGGACGAAACGTTATAGTCCGGTAAAATTGGACTTTGACTTCAAAATAATTATAATCAAGCTGAATTGTTCTGTGGAGACCTTTATTTCGATGTTTTAATGAAATCCTGAAAAGTACCCTTAATGTCAGCCAGGGCGTTTTTATGGGAGTAAAAGGGGGCAAATTTTAGTTTTTTGCCATTATCTCGAAAACTATCAATTTTTCGAGAAAAATAGTTATTACCAAAATTATAGCTCATAAAATTTCCTACAAAAAAGGTCTTTATACTTTTTTTCGTGGGATTAAACGTTTCGAAGATATAGAGCGAATTAAGAATATGTGCACATTACTATATTGTATTAGAAATATTGCAACTTTACCGCACGTTTTACTCAAAAACGATTAGTTGTACGAAAAAAAGTATAATAACCTTCTTTGTAGAGAATTTTATGAGCTACAA